AAAGAGTGCAGAAGCCAGAGCCCAGAGATAATGGCATATAGTGTAGTATTTTATTGCATAAAAATATTAGCATCCACGTAGAGCTCATAAAAGCAATACATCTTCACTTACAAACATGGCCGCCGGACCATCATATGGACTCAGCGGCGTGACGTCAGCATGTAGGCTCCCCACTGACTCGTTTTGTGCACCTGCACATTCTCAAAGGGATCCGCCTCCTACTGACGCCATCACAATACACATCTTAAATAGCCCTCAGGCGCACAAACAAATGGGCACCATTTTATTGAAGACCAGGCATTGCATCTTTGTTCCACATCATATAAATCAAAAAACAGCCACTTACAAAATAAATAAACAAAACGTGATAATGTTATTACTATTTAGATATGGGGATTGTTAATTATCGATTAAATTAATTATATGAACTTATATTTCCACAGGGTGCTGCGAATATCAATATTGTAATCACTGATACCAGTGATAAAAAAGCCAAAATATCAAAAAAGACCAAAAAAAGGGGATTTAGAAGAAAATATTGCTAAAATTCTAATAAGGGGATTATAAAGAATATAACAAAAAATCTAGTCATTTCCAACAAAGATACGATCAAGAATGAAACCATACAAAGAAATAAATATAAAACAAAGCCGTGCTGCCTTAAAAAAACACTATGTAACATAAAACATATAATAACATTTTTTTTTAAAACAAATCACATGAAAGAGCATCAAAGTCATATACAGTTGTGCTCCAAAGTTTGCATACCCTGGCAGAAATTGTGAAATTTTGGCATTGATATTAAAAATATGACTGATCATGCCAAAAAATGCTCCTTTATTGAAGGATGATGATCATATGAAACTATTATCAAATAGTTGTTTGGCTCCTTTTTAAATCATAATAACAGAAATCACCCAAATGGCCATGATCAAAAGTTTACATACTCTGGAATGTTTGGCCTTGGTACAGACACACAAGGTGACACACACGGATTAAAATGCAAATTAGAGGTTAATGTCCCACATCTGTGGCTTTTTAAATTGATAACAGTTTTATTGATAACAGTTGATGTTTATGTTTCTTCCATCTACTTAGGGGGAATGCATAGGAATAAGTTCCATAATAATATATTTATGGGGTTGAGATGCTTTTATTTGGGCCTATTCATGCCATGTTATATATCATGCTGCACATACTTAAATGATTTTGATGCTCCTTCATGTGTTTTTATATGATTTTTTTGAAAAAAGAGATTTTATTATATGTTTTATGTCACATAGTGGATTTTTAAGGCCCCACGGCTTTATTTTATATTTATTTTTGTATGTTTTCATTCTGGATCACATCTTTGTTGGAATTTAATAGATTTTTATTTATTATTTATTATATTCTTTATAATCTTCTTATTAGAATTTTAGGGATATTTTCTTCTAAATCCCCTTTTTTTTGGTCTTTTTTGATATTTTGGCTATTTTATCACTGGTATCAGTGATTATAATATTGATATCCGCAGCACCCTGTTGAAATATAAGTTCATGTAATTCAGTTAATAATTAACAATCCCATGTCTAAATAGTAATAACATTATCACCACATTTTGTTTATTTATTTTTGTAAGTGGTTGTTTTTTTTGATTTGCACGATCCGGAACAAAGATGCAATGTCTGGTCTTCAATAAAATGGCGCCCGTTCATTTGCACGCCTGAGGGCTATTTAAGATGTGTATTGTGATGGCGTCAGTAGGAGGTGGGTCCCTTTGAGAATGTGCATGCACAAAATGCGTCAGTGGGGAGCCTACGTGCTGACGTCACGCCGCTGATTCTATACGATGGTCCGGCGGCCATGTTTGTAAGTGAAGCTGTATTGCTTTTATGAGCTCCACGTGGATGCTAATATTTTTATGTAATAAAATACTACACTATATGCCACCATCTCTGGGCTCTTGTTTCTGAACTCTTTTATCTAGGATTTACTATCTCCGGATTGATTGCTTATCCATGCATTGGAGCTGATGCATCTGCTTTAGAGGGATCCCAATATAGAGCCAAGCCGCCCTGGATATTTGGCCATCTATCCCTGCAGTGGAAAGACTACATCTTTCGGAGGGATTTCTGTACAGTGCCTAGTTGCCTCTTCCGGTGAGTGCATAGTGGTGGAGGATTGTCACAGATGTAACCTTATGTCACTAGTCATGATTGATCTCTACAACACCATTGGACACTGCACTTTTTGGACTTTATTTAGGATTTAAGTTAATCTTATATATATTTTTGTATAATTACTTCCTATATAAGTTTACACAGGAATAATTTTGTGTTCGTATGCTTTGGACATAAGCGCTGCACTTTCTGTATATATTTCTGTTTTTAGTAGACTAGGAGGGTTTACCACTTTGTGCTGCTCATTCACAAGTTCTTTTTCTTTATGCTCACTACATATTTTTGAAACACATCCCTTACATTGGATGTGTAACAATGATAGTCCCCGCCAATCCCCTTGAAGGAAAATAATTATATCCATATTCCTATCAGACACAGGTCAAATATGGTCTTTGGCATGTGTAACCTTGGTATTCCACAAATAACCCCCATGAAGAAAAATATTTATATGCATATTCTTATCAGAAATAGGATAAATATGTTCATTTTTAGGTGTAACCATGATATTACATCCATAATTCCCATGAAGAACAATAATTATACCCATATTCCTATCAGAAACAGTTCAAATACATTACGTGCGATGCGTAACAATGATATTCATCTTATAATCCCCTTCTAGAAAAATAATTATACCCATTTTCTTTTTAAAAAAAGAAAATGGTCAAATATGTTACATGGGATATGTATCCATGCTATTCCACCCATTCAAATATTTTCCTTTGCATGTGTAACTATAATATTCCATCCATTTTTCCATTATTCTTGTATTATTTACTATGATTCTATTGTACAGCTGCATATATATAATATATATATCAGCAAGTGAATAGTTAAACATTAGCAACTATTTCTTGCGAGATAATATCAAGCACTGAAGAAAAGAATAACATATTTTGAGTAACAACCGTCATTTCCATATACAGCAGGTAAAATAAGTAATGAACACGTTTTTCTCCGTAAATATATTTCTAAAGTTGCTATTGACATGAAATTTTCACCACATGTCGGTAACAACCCATGCAATCCATACATACAAAGAAACAAATAAGTTCAGAAATTAGGTTATGTGTAATAAAATGTAATGACACCGGGAAAAAGTATTGAACACGCTAGCTGAAATTTATTTAATACTTTGTACAAAATCCTTTATTGATAATGACAGGGTCAAGACGCCTCCTGTATGGAGAAACTAGTCGCATGAATTTCTCAAGTGTCATCTTGACCCATTTTGGCTCTTCAAATCTTGGAGGTTCCGTGGGTCTCTTCTATGAACTCTGATCTTTATTTCTTTCCACAGATTTTCTGTTGGATTCATGTCAGGTGATTGGCTGGGCCATTCTAGCTTCTTTATTTTCTTTCTTTGAAACCAATTGAGAGTTTCCTTGGCTTTGTGTTTGGGATCATTGTCTTGCTGAAATGTCCACCCTCGTTTTCATCATCCTGGTTGGTGGCAGCAGATTTTTATCAAGAATGTCTTGGTACATTTTTCCATCCATCCTTCCTTCAATGATATGAAGTTTGCCAGTACCATATGCTGAAAAACAACCCCACACCATGTTCCCACTTCCAAACTTTAATGCCAGTATGGTGTTTTTGGGGTGATGTGCAGTGTCATTTAACCGCAAAACATGGTGTGTATTATGGCATCCAGAGAGTTCAATTTTGGTCTCATCTGACCACACTATGAGTATATTCTCCCAGTATTTCATAAGCTTGTCTAAATGTTGTGCAGCAAACTTTAAACAAGACTCAACATGCTTTTTCTGCACCAAAGGATTCTTGAGTGGTGAGCGTGCATACAGGCCATGGCTGTTGAGTGCATTGCTAATTTCAGGTCTTTCTGAAGCTTTCCACAAGTGTGGTGCTTGGCTCTTGGACACCTTTTCTGATAATTCTGTTCATGCCTCTATCAGAAACCTTGCGAGGAGCACCTGGTCTTGGCCGATTTATATTGAAATGATGTTCTTTCCACTTCCGGATTATTGCTCCAGCAGTGCTCACTAGAACATTCCAAAGTTTCGAAAGCCTTCTGTGACCAATGCAATCAGTATATTTTGAACAAAAAGGTTGCAAAGGTCTTGAGAGAGCTCTCTTTGCTTTTACCCATCATGAGATTTTTCTTGTGTGACACCTTTTTATAGGCCATCAGTTTAGATTAATTTGCATTCATAAAGGGGCAGGATTGCTTTCTAATTACTGATAGATTTCAGGTGGTGTCTTGGCTTTCCATGCCTTTTTGCACCTCCCTTTCTTCATGCGTTCAATACTTTTCCCTGTGTCATTCCATTTTATTACACATAACTTAAAAGTGGTTGTAAAGGCTGAAGGTTTTTTACCTTCATGCATTCTTTGCATGAAGGCAATAAACCTTCTGTGTGTAGCAGTGCCCCCAGCCCCCTCTATACTTACCTGAGTCTCATCATGATCCAGCGATGTGATTAACAGCCTCGGCTGTCCCGAGTCTCTGCCTCCTCATTGGCTGAGACAGCAAGCGGGAGCCAGTCAGCCAATTTTGTGTGTGTGTGTGTGTTGTTCTAGTGACAACTTTCAGGGACACTTTCTGTTGTCCCTGAGGCAGAAGGTTAAGACATTCTAAAGTTTGCAGAACCCCCCTCCCTGGTAGGATGCAGACAGCAGTAAAAAACTATTTACAGGGGTTCCTACTCTGTCCAAAACAACTGTCTTTAGAAATACATAAAATTGTTACTCAACTGAAACATTCTACATTTAAGTTAGTATGTATATGTTTTGCAATATGTATTTTTTTAATGCTTTATACTTTGCTTGTAGCTAAGCAGCGAGGTGGATGATTATGTTTGTGACTGCCATCTAGAGATGCTTCGGTTGTCACAGGACCAGCAGAATCCTCAAAGCATCCAGTTTGATGAGGCTAACTGGCAACTTCACCTGAGCTCTTTGAAACCTCTGGGTCTTAATGTGCTGCTCAACCTCTGTAACCCAGATGTGACCACCACCCTTTGCCGCTTCTCTGACCATTTAAAGCACATTGCCCTTCAAGAAACGCGCTGCTCTGTGCTTCCAGGGCATATCCCATGGGGACTCTGTGACTTTTCTAGGCTCATCGGTATGATTGCTTTAATATCTCATTCTGTGTACTCTGTTTTTTTAATAGAAAATTATTTTTTCTCATCTTGGTTATTGACCTTGTGATTTGTGTCTAGGTTTCACGCCTGGAGCAAAGGATCTATTTAAACTACAAAATCATGTTGCTCTTTATCACCTTCCAAGTGATGAAACTGTGAAGGAGTCCCTTCTCTGCAAGCTTCCAACGGTTACCAAGCGACGACCTCCACTCAGCCACATGATCAGCCTTTTTGTCAAGGATGTCACATCCAGTAAGTTGGCTTCATTTCATCCTTGTTTGAAGATATTACACCATTTTCCTTAGTATATAATATTCATTTGTATCCATGTTCTTTGCCTTTCTAATTCTCTCCTGGCCTTTTTTCTTGTTCTGTCAGAATTATTTTGGTTTTTTTTTTTATATATTGAAATGTGTATCTCTTTCATCTGTTGTTCCTGTAACTCTCAGACACAGAGCAGATGCTGTCCCATGGAACAGCTGATATTATCCTTGAAGCCTGTACTGATTTCTGGGATGGAGCTGATATTTACCCCCTCTCTGGGTCTGACAGGTACGCCTCATAACATTATCTCCCAATAGCAGCATCCCTGAAAAACAAGAAAATATTTTAAAATGCACCAAAAGCTTGTCTTCTATTCTCCATTTGCCCTTACTAGCTTTTCTCTGCAATCCACAATTCATTTTCCTAATTTCTTTGTGCATGTTTGTTTTTTGCCTGTATAATACACTCATACTTATTTATCATGTATCTCAGGAAAAAGGTGCTGGATTTCTACCAGCGAGCCTGCTTGTCTGGTTACTGCTCTGCCTTTTCCTACAAGCCCATGCACTACTCACTGTCCCCTCAACTTCATGGAAAGTGCATAGAGATGCACCATGCTCCTGGTCACAGCACCATTCCAGCATCATGTGATTTAGGTGGGACTGTGCCATTGAAACCTTCTGGCCGTCATGACAGCTGGAGTTCTGATGGTGAGCAAGCAACTAGTGTTGAGCATACTGCATTAACATACTATACCTTGTTATCTTTTGCTCCTTGTTAAAGGAAACCTTTCCAGAGAGAAAAATTATAGCTACTATTGCTAACATTTCATTCTGCAAGTGCGAACTTTTTTAGACTTTCCTGATGTCCATACTGGTTCTGAGTTAGTGATTTCAAAAAGCATTGAAACCATTGGTCCAGCATTATATATTCTGAATAAATATAAAAATGGTGGTCAGCATATTACTAGAAGAAAAAGTTTCCTTAAAGATATATAATTTATTCAATAAAGAGTTCCTATTAACTATAATAAACTATAGAATTCCAGAATTCCTTCTGCTTATGTTAGAAAAGTGTTGATAGACCAGTTTAGATAAAGAACTGATTAGTATTTAATTATTTATTACAGGTACTTATATAGTGCAATCAATTTAAACAGCAGTGCTTTACACATATGTTGTACATTCAAATCTGTCCCTGCACTCAAGGAGCTTACAATCCAAGGTCCCTAACTCACATTCATACATACTAGGGACAATTTAGACAGGAGTCAGTAAACCTGCCACTATGTCTTTGTATAACCTAGATTATAATTGGTTGAAATGGGGGGTACTGTGTTTTAGGGAATAGCACCTGCTACTAAGATTATTGAATGTATGGCTTTCTAAACTACATTGTTGCATCTTGGCATTTCCTCATTATGCTGTCATTGATTTTATTTAATTTCTACCTTGTCTTCTTTGTGTCTTGTCTTATTTTCTTTCTACTTAAACACAGAAGGCATTGGAGAGTTCACAGAGGATTTTACCCAGGCACTCAGTGGACAGATCTTCATGGGGATGGTCTCCTCACAGTACCAGGCTCGTCTGGATATTGTGCGTCTTATAGATGGTTTAGTGAATGCCTGTATCCGATTTGTGTACTTCTCCATGGATGATGAGCTTAGAAGCAAAGTAAGAAAGCAAACATTACATGTTTTTTTATTATAAATAAGGGTTTTAAAGATTTCCCCAAGGAGGAGGGCTACAGTTACAGTTTTTACTTTTTGTTATTGAGCCTAATGCAGTGTGTGGTTGAAGGACTGCAAAAAAAGGGTTTATGGTCACTACTTTGACCTGCATTTTATTATAGGTGTTGCCCCATAGTAAATAAAACTTGTTGAAATATAAGTGAAAAAAAACACAAGCCTATTCAAAAGATATTAATCTGTAGCAAGCAACACCAAACATTCAGAATACATAATCTTTATAGTGGTACTTTTTCTTTAATACTCTTTATTTCTTGATATATTTTGACCTACAGATAATGGAGCACTTCCTTTTAGCAATATAGCTACAATTGTAAACCATTCAAAAGTGCTAAAACTATACATTTATAACCTAGAGGTGATATAAGACAAACTGCCCCTTGCAATGAGCCCATTGAAAAGATGTAATAGTCACTTGTGTGGCCTTATGTTTCTGATTGTTGGTATGAGAGAGATAATAATGTTTTCAGCACATACAATTCTAAGATGAAAGCAGAAGACATTCTGTTAAACTTAAACTGCCTACCCAAAACTGTGCAGGACAAATGTAAACACAGAGGATGTGGCTTAGCTATACAAGGAGAAAGCATTTTCAGATACTTTTGGTAACACCTAGGGTTTTAGCGATCAATTTTGAAGAAGTTCAAGTGGGGATTGGATAAATCCACACATTAACTAGAACCCCCCTTTCTGTTCAGTTTTGTACAAGTTCTTACTGTCTACTCAGGTGTTTGCAGAGAAGATGGGCCTAGAGACTGGATGGAACTGTCACATTTCTCTAACTCCAAATGGTGATGGGCCAGGTTCTGTGGTACCACCATCCAGCCCCAGTAATGCTGGATCTCTGCGAGATGACTTACATCAGGGTGAGCAAAAATGGCAAAACTCTTGTAGCATGGTTCTCCATCCTGCTATCCCAGTTTTGTTTTTGGACAATTGTTGAGTAATTGTCCACCTAAATAATTGGCCTCTTTATGACATTTTTAGGTTCTCGGGAAGATGCAGAGGGCTTACTATTGATGGATGATGAAGGTCATTCAGATATGATTAGTTTTCAGCCTACGGATAGTGATGTTCCTAGTTTTCTAGAGGATTCAAATCGAGTAAGGGAAACATTAAATTTTTTTACCTTGACTGAGCTACTATGTTAATGGCTGTTTAGGATTTAGTGTTAACCTTTTTCAACATTTTTTATTACCTATCCATAGGCAAAGCTCCCTCGTGGTATTCATCAAGTAAGGCCTCATCTGCAGAACATTGATAATGTGCCCTTGTTGGTACCGCTGTTTACAGACTGTACACCAGAAAGTGGGTAAAGCAAAGAAGGCTGTAAAGATAAACTTGGTTTGTTAAAATGTTCTGTTTGCTAATATTCCTTTGTTCCTTAGCTATGTGTGAGATGATCCAGATCATGCAGGAGTATGGAGAGGTGACCTGCTGTATGGGAAGTTCTGCTAACTTTAGAAACAGTGGCTTATTCTTACAGAGTGATATCAGGTCAGCAGCATTCCTTACTGAAGTTACTCCTTATCTTTGTCCTATTTTCTATATGACTTGTCATAATAAATAATAATAATAAACTTTATTTTATATACATTTGTGTTAAAAATAGTAGCATTGTGTTTAAAAAAGTTTGCGTAAAGCTTAAAATCCTTATAATAGCTTTTATTTCCATACACGCAAATGCATTGGGAACACTGCACAGTCTAATCCAACTCAAAACATGAAAAATGTTTCAAATGTGTTATTACTTTACAGAAAGTGAAAAAGAGGAGTATTAGGCTGTTCAAAAAATAGCAGTGTCTGCATTTTTCTTTACAAAGTCAAACATTTACTGTATAATCTTACTTCAGTGCACAAAATGTTGCGCCATTTCTCTTTAGGCCAGTCAGTATGTTTTTTGGCAAATTGTAACCTCTTCAGCACGTCATTTTTTCAACAATGGGACTTTGCCGATAGCTTGGAGTCACATAGGTGTCTTCTAATTGTTACAGTACTCACAGGTAACTAGACCTTCTTTGATCGCCCTGGAGCTGATCATTGGCTGAGTCTTTGCCATTTTGGCTATTCTTTGAACCATTTGAATGGGAGTTTTCCGTTTTCATCCACGTCTTTCTGGTTTTGGTTGCCATTTTAAAGCATTTGAAACATTTTAGCTGAGCATCCTATCAGTTTCTGCACTTCTTTATATGTTTTCTCCTCTCCAATCAACTTTTTAAATACGCTATTCTTCTGAACAATGTCTGGAATGACCCATTTTACTCAGATTTTTAGAGAGAAATGCATTATACCCAGCATGTACAACATTTGCTGCCTTTGTCCTTAAATAAGTGGCACCTGTTTGACACTTGTTTTTTTGCAGATTGAATGACCACACTAATTGAACTCCACACTACTATTATTTTGAACTTGCTCCTATCAAATAATGATTAAGTTACACAGAATCAGTAGCATACATTTCATGACTGTTGGGTCTGTTGGTCTTCTATTACTTTTACTACACCTACTAGTACATTATTTGCCATGTAGAAATATAATTTATACCAAAAACAATGATAGATCTGGTTAGTGATGTTGGATTGCTATTATTTTGAACACAACTGTAGTTCCTTTAAAGGTAGCTTCTCAAAATCCTTTACAATGAAAACACAAGAAATACACAGAATAAAATAATGGAAAAAAATGGACAATTCCATGAAAGCTATTTTTCTAAAGAAAAATGTTTTTAGTTTTGATTTGAATTTAGAGTTTAGAGAGGCTGCCTCTCTGGTGTTCTTTGGCAGTCAGTTCCAGAGTTTTGGAGCACAGCCGGAGAAGGCTCTGTCTCCCAAGTGCTAGACTTTTTTGTGCCCAAAGCAAAAACAACTACTTGCACCCCCAAAAAGCCCAAAACTTCAAAATTATTTCAAAAATTCTAGCACCAGAACTGCATAACCCTAAATTGATGACCTGTAGGGGCTCTTCTACTCTCATTAAATGGCAAAAAACTTCAGTACCCTATATTGTTTCATAGGCAGCACTTTAAAAGCCCCTACAGGCCATCAGTCTAGTATTATACAGGGGTTCTGATGCTAAACTATTTCTCTCACTCCGGCATGCGCAGTGATACATAACATGTGAAGGACCACATGCACTGCACAGAGGATAGCCTGAAATCAGTGGCCGTGGCTGCGCCCTAGGCAGGCAGAGCGCCCTAGGTGGCTGTCTAGTTCATCTAGCGGTAGCGCCGGCCCTGCCCATCAGGTGTAGGGGGAACACACAGAAGACCAGAATTTGAGAACTGGAGGTTACAAAGGGGTAGTAAGTTGATGAACGTCCAGAGATAATGGGGCGCCAAGCCATGAAGAGCCTTATAGGTGAACAAGCTGATCTTAAAGTCTATGCGAAATCTGACCGGTAGCCAGTGCAAGGACTCCAGGATAGGGGTAATATGATCACTTGTACCAGACCTAGTCAGGATTCTGGCTTCAGATCTGTGCACATATTGAAGTTGATTAATAGTGGATTTAGTTACACCAGCGAGTAGAGCATTGCAGTAGTCAGTGATGGAGAATACAAATGTATGGTCAACTTTTCAGCTACAGTATATGATAGCATAGGACGCAGCTGAGCAATGTTTCTCAAGTGGAAAAAAGACATGAAAAAGGCTTGAACTATCTTGCTTTGCATGTAATGAGTCTATCTCATATATTAGTTTCACCTTTTAAGTTGCATTGCTGAAATAAATGAACTTTTGCACGATATTCTAATTTTTTGAGTTTCACCTGTATATGGAGTGTTGAGCCTGTTTCTCCGCATTGTCTCCAGCATGAGGAGGAGTGTTGAGGGTAGTACAATGAGAGTTTAACGGGTGTTAAGTACCATTGATGTAAGATTTTCAAGTACGATTCCCAGTGGGAGCTGCATCGAGAAGCTTTGTGGGTGGTATTAAAGGTTTTTTCCCATGTGTGTGGTGATATTGGTTGTGAGAGAATTTTCTCCCAGTTTATTAGGGCGGTAGTTTGTAGGGTAAATTGTGAACTTATTGTGTGTGTGTAGAAAATTGAAATACCTCTTCTTGGGTATTGTATTTTGATAAGGTATTGGTATGCGGTGGTAGGAATTTGGTATCTATTTGGTATCTGTCGAGTTGGCAGTTAGGAGATCATACCAGGCTTGAAGGGAGGCTTGAATGCATGGGTGTTTAAGTAGGTGTTTGGTCTGGGGTGTTTGTGGTAAGAAAAGTATGTTACGTGGTGTGAGCAGGAGAAGAGGGAGCGTTTCCATGGTAGACCATGATTTTTCTTTAGTCGGGTGCCACCAAAAATAAATTTGGTCAAGAAGAGTGGCATTGTAGTATGATTTTAAGTATGGGAGACCTGCTCCTCCTCTGGATGTTGGGCATATTAGTAGATTTGTGGTACATCTGGGTTTTTTTTGAATTCCAGAGGAATTTAGAAAGTATTGCTTGTAGTTTAGAGAAGAAGATATTGGGGATGGGAATAGGGAGTGTGCGGAATATGTATAGGATTTTTGGTAGTATGTACATTTTCAGAGTCGCTACCCTTCCCAGTTTCGATAGTGTTGATGTGCGAAGATTAGTAAGTTCTTGTGGGATGGTTTCGAGTAATAGTTTGTGATTTGAGGAATATAGCTGATCTGTTGTATTGGTGAGTTTGATTCATAGGTAAGGGATGCTGTGTTGTTCCCAAGAGAAGGGAAATTGTTTGGCTAGTATTGTTTGGGTTTTAGTAGGCCTGTGGAGATGTAGGATAGAAGATTTGGGTTCATTGAGTTTGTAATATGAAACTTCCGAATAATTTTGAAGGTGTGAACGAATCGATTGGTGCGATTTGTGTGGGTTAGTTATCATTAGTATGATATCTGCAAATTAAGCTAATTTTATGTTCTGTTTTAAGGTGGGTGATTCCTGTAAATGTTTGGTCGTCTGAGTTTTGAAGCTAAGGGTTCAATGAGTAAGGTAAATATCATGGGAGATAAAGGGCAACCTTGTCTAGTGCCACTGGAGATGTCGAAGGGCTCTGAGAGTGTGCCATCTGTTAATACTCTGGCTGATGGGTTGGAGTAGAGGGAGAGGATTGCATATAGCATTCAGTCTGTAATGCCGAATTTCTGTAGTGTTAATTGCATAAAATTCCAATGTATTTGGTCAAATACTTTTTTTGCGTCCAAAGATAGTAATAAGGAGGGTTGTTTGGTGGTTTCTAATTTGTGGAGGTAGGATATGAGTCTTCTGGTTGCGTCAGGCGCTTGGCGACTAGGGATAAATCCTACTTGGTCTGGATGAATTAATGTAGGGAGATGGGGAAGGAGTCTTTGGGCTATTATTTTGGCATAAAGTTTTATGTCTGTGTTTAGTAGTGAAATCGGTCTATAATTCTGGACAATTTGGGGGTCTTTGCCGGGTTTTGGAATAGTTGTAATTATGGATTGTATTTTTTCTTTGGGGAATTCACCCGTAGAAGCGGCATGGTTGAAGAGGTTGGTTAGGTGTGGTGAGAGGTCAGGGGCAAATAATTTATAAAATTTGTTAGTGAAACCATCGTTTCCTGGTGATTTATTAAGAGGTAAAGTTTTGATGTTTTTTTTCTATTTCTGTAGGAGAGATTGGAGTGGAAATAGAATCGAGTTGTGATGTAGTCAGTTGGGGGAGATTCGTAGTGTTTAGGAATTTTTGTATGGATGTGGCTGTTGGTTGGGTTGTGTCTGGGTCATTTTTGAGATTATATAGTTTTTGGTAATAGGTCGCGAAGGCGTTAGCTATGTCTTGTGGATTTGTGAGGGATGCATGTGTAGCTGGGTGGTGAATTGAAGACATTTTGGATTAGTTTAGTTAATAGTGAATTTGCCTTGTTACCTAGGGAATAAAATTGTGCTTTCGTTTTTTGTAGGTTAAGGTCATATTTGTAAAGTAGGAGGGCTCGGAGTTTATTTCTGTCTGAGGCGAGGGATGTAGATGTGGGAGGGATTTGGATTTTTTTTGTTGATTTCTTCTTTTAGTTTTATGGATGTTAGAAGTTGGTCAATTTGTTGGGTTCTTTGTTTAGTGATGCGGGAATTTAATTGTATGAGGATGCCTCTCATGTATGCTTTGTAAGCGGGCCACAATGTGGTTATAGAGATATTAGGTGTGGCATTAAATTCGAAAAACATGTGTGCTTCTAGTAAGTGCTTCTTGTTATCTGGGTTCTTCATTATCGATTAATTCAGTCTCCAGATGCGAGGGATTGAAGAGTGTTGATTGTTGTCCAGGGTTATGTTGATTGGAGCGTGGTCTGACCAGGTTATGGTGCCAATTTTGGAGGACGTTACATGTTGTAGAGTCCATTTGTCTGTGACGAAGACATCAATTCAGGAGTAGGATAAGTGGGATGGGGAGTAGGAGGGATAGTCTTTTTCAGTGCTATGTTGGCATCGCCAGATGTCGTGGAGATCATGGTCATGTAAGAATTGGTTGAAGTTATGTTTGGGAGATCGTTTGTTGGAGGAAGAGTCCA